AAGGTTTTATGGCAGATGTTTTGTTAACAGTAGATTCCTGTGGAATGGACTCTAGCTTTCATGGAGAAACTTTTGACTTATTCTCTATGTAAAATGTTAGTATTTCATAACATTCCACAGAATGTTCCAGGTATGCAGACAAAGCAAATATTAGTCATATTGGACAATTATTGAGAGATTTGATGAAATAATTATTCTGACTGATAAAAGGTGTAAAATAAAGTTTACTGGAACCTTGTGGGGGAGGGTGCAGCATGATGAACTCCGCCTGTGTAGTCAAGGTGGTTTCCATTAGAACCGAGTCAATAAAGTGTTTACTGTTACAGCTCTGATTATGTTTTGTGGGAAAGAGAATTAAAATAAAGCATCTTGAACACCCTTAAATTAGGATCTTTGCAATTAACTATAGGCTTCTAATTCTTCATCTGAAGTCAAAGATCTATTGGCACAGAAAAACAAGTTGATCACAGAAGTTGCTGAACTTCAGAGACAGCTTCAACTTGAAGTCAAGGTATTTGAATTTTCCTTTGCTTTTTTTAAAAAAAATTCTATCTTGATTGATAAAAAAGTATTTTAAGCACATTAGGAAGCCCAAGTGAAGTAAGAACCAATTTTTCCTCCCAAGAGAAACATTCTTCTCATCATTGAGTGAATTCCTGTGTATTCAGTTCCTGTTCTGCAAATTTTTTTTTTCCCTTTTAAATAACCAAAGCTTTTAGAGCCTGTCTGCTTTGCTGGAGTACAAGAAATGCTGTTAGATCCAGTCAGGCCAATAGGAAAACTCAATGCAAAACATCTGGATTAAGTAATAAAAACAGTAGAATAAAGTTTATCTGCATTTTTCTCTTTTAGAGATATTATAGTTCATTAAATACTTAATATTGTTTTCAGTGATAGACTTCCATGCCTTAATCATCTACTTTGATTAAGTTACTTAATAACTTAAATGGGAATACATGGGGTCCATTAGCTTCTAGAAGGCAGCATTGATGGACTTGCCTTAATGTAAATCACATGCATTCATATTAGAACCAACAGAACATCAAAGAAGAGAGAGAGAGAATGAAAGCCAACTTGAAAGAACTCCAAAGCCAACATGACCATAAGGTCGAAGAGAACTCAGTGCTGCAACGGCGACTGGAGGAAAGCGAAGGGGAGCTTCGGAAGAATCTGGAGGAGTAAGTTCTGGTCAAGAGCCTCTTCTGGATGTAGCCTGAAATTCCCCACTATTTGATATACCTGGCTTTCCAAATAGCTATAGACACTGCTAACCTACCTACCTTTTCTCACTCATATGCTCATAAAATTGTGGAGCTGGTGACATGCAGACTGGTAGGAAGATGGTAATATATTTTTTTTAATTTTAAGATTTAATTATGCATACAGAACTGGAGTACATGCCAGAGGTGCAGGGGTGGTGAGAGGATTCACCAGAGACAGAGTGGGAAGCGGAACAGGCAGGTCAATGAAGGACACTCCTGAGGGGGAGCAGCGGGCAGGTCAGGAGAGGTCTGCTGTGCCATGTGGGTCACCTCCTGGGGCAGGGATCGAACCAGCACTGAAGCGGCTGGTGCTAGCTTGCAGTGCTGTGCTTTAACCTGCTGTACAACCAGGGAGGGCCCATGATGGTAATATTTTTTAAAATCCTTTGTCTACCTTAAAGGATGCTTTGCAAAATTTCTGTCCTTTGACTGGCTCTCATAGCAGGTTAAGTGATGGCAGGGAAAACTGAGTTGTGATATCTAAACACAGATTTCAGGGAGCTTGGATCAAGCCTCCAAAACGTTCTTGCACTTCCCACAATCTTCTAGCTTGTAAATTTTTTTTCTGGGGTTGTGCTTATAATTTCCTTTGAGTCTTCAGAGAAGGGAAGTCAAGCCCTTGGCCTTGCACATAGCTGTTGTGTAGATATATTGTATAAATGACTGTAAGCCTTAAATAATTAATCAACATGACTGTTCAATAAATTTATTTACAAAAACGGGAGCAGACCAAATTGGGTCATGGATCATAATTTGCTGAGTCTTTTCATCTAGAGTACTGGGGAGGGGAGTGTTGAGGCATAGGGTGGCTTCAGGGAAAACAGTTAATGAAAAGTTGTGTTTTTTGTCAGCCACTATATCCAAATTCTTACATGCTGCAATCTTCCTTGAAGGAGAAAATGTCCCTATATAACATTTCCCATTACATTTGTTTGAATTCTCACTGTCTTCCCATTTGGCCAGTGTACGTGTAGACATGAGTTCTTACCAGGCACCTTTTCTGGTTTATGAGTCCTTATTCAATGAAGAACAGAAAATAGGAGTCCTCTTGGCCTTTCAGTGATTTTGATTGACCATCTGAAGGTCTGAAGTAGTGGATGAAAATAAGCAGAGCCTAGAGAATCTCTCTGATGGCTTTCTTTCCTACCAGGCTGTTTCAGGTGAAGATGGAACGAGAACAGCACCAGACTGAGATCAGGGATCTCCAGGACCAGCTCTCAGAAATGCACGATGAATTGGACAGTGCTAAGCGATCCGAAGACAGGGAGAAAGGGGCTTTAATTGAGGTAAGAGGGAGCCCAGTGGGGTCAGGCCAGAAGAGAAGCCCCATCTTCCCAGAGAGGGTGTGGGTGGGTGGGAGGACTGGGCACCACGAGCTGTGTTCAGTTGTAGATACTCACTCCACCTGTGCTTGTGGTGAAGTTATGGAAGAGCATCAGCATACGTAGTCATTTTTTAAAAAGATTTATTTATTTATGCATACAAGGACTGGGGTACAGGCCAGAGGTGCGGGGGATGATAGGATTAACCAGAGACAGAGTGGGGAGCAGAACAGGAAGATCTACTGAAATACACTGTTGAGGGGAGCAGTGGATAAGACAGGAGAGGTCTGCTCTACCATGTGGGTCACCTTCCTGGCTGGGGATTGAACTCGTGCTGCATTGGCTGGTGGTAGCTTCATGGTGCTGTGCTTTAACCCCTTGCACCACCAAGGAGGCCTTCTGGTGTCATCATTTTCAATCATAAGAAACGTAGAACAACACTATGGCTGCCAGTCCGACAGTGATCAACATACTGTCACCTATTCTCCATTTATTCATCTGTCCTTCCATTCATTCTTCTGTATTTTCATCCAACCACTGACCTTTGCTGAAGCACTTCAAAGCACATTACAGATAATACCACTTTTCATGCATCCTTGAAAAATTAGGGAATATTCTTATAATTGTAATGCTATTACTAAAAAATTAATAACTCCTATTATGTAGATAATAACAACATTTGCAATACCTGGCATTATTCAGGATTTCCCAGTTGTTCCCCCCAGTGTATCTTATCAATCCTCCCCCTCAAGCCAGGATCCAGTGAAGAATTCCCATTGCTTTCACTTTTCTTGCTCTGAGTTCATTTATCTTGATTTAGTCCATCCCTCCAGACCCTACCCTTTATTTTTTTTCCTCAGTCCATCGATCTGCTGAAGAGATCAGACCAATCTCTAACCTTTTGGATTTGTCTGATTACCCCCTTCTGGTGTTTATGAACTTAATTCCACTACTCACTGTATTTCTAGTAAATGAATTTAGATCTAAACACTGATAGGTTCAGGCCAAACATCAGGCAAAAATATTTTGTAAGTAATGCCGTTCATGGAAACACATTGAAAGACACAAATGTCCCATCATTATCAGTGCAGCATTTCTCATAGGTAGTTTTATTTGTTTGAAGCCCCCACAAGACTGTAAGTTCCAGGAGGGTGAGGCTGATGGTAGCTGACTCAGCTCTGTATCCAGAACCACTCTCCTAGGGCTGGGGATGTGTGGCTGTCAGTGAAGGTTTGATGTTTGGTAGGATGGAGGTGTAGCGAGTGTCAGGATTTACTTGCTGTGCGCTCAGGCTGTCTCTCTAGCTATCCCCTATTGGAAGTTTTGCTCTTACCAATCTGTGAGTCATCTATGAGTGGGTAAGTTTGACTCTTCCCCCTGCTTATTAACTTTTGTTAAATATTATGAGGTTTTCCAAGATGATAATTACCTGAATTAGATTGCCATCCTTTGAGGTGTTAGATGCTTATATAGGAAATGATTAAAGAATAAGTATAGATTTTGAATGTCAATATTTTTTGTTGGGAGTAATTAGGAGTGAGGGTTGAACGAGAACTTTCATTTCTGGGCTTCCTGAGATGTTTTAGTATTTGCTATAATATTACCATGTACTGTATTTTTGGGTTGGTTCTGAATTTTATTTCTGCAATCTTTTGGTGAATAGACACAGCCCATCAAATAAAGTCAGGAACTCAACCAGAAGTCAGGAACTCCACCAAAGGAAGGGACAAAGATAGGCCCAAAACCTCAGAGGAAAGGCAGGACAAAATGAAATATAAACAGTATCATGGGACCTTTATTCGGTGCTGGTTTTGGTTTTTTTGATGTGTTCTAAATTGTTGTATAGGGGCAATGAGAAGATATCCAGCCATTTTGATACCTACCTTTAAATATTAGTATATCAGAACTATTTTTCCTTGTTAGACTTCTATAGCTTTCATGTTTCATTTTTGAGATGATAAACTGCAATTCAGTCATGCCCTGTATTCCTTTATTTTGATTATAGAAAATATTGTGGTGCACATTTTTTGTATGTATCCTTTTACCTCTTCAGATGAGTTTCCTAAGGATTAGTTTCCAGAAATGATGCCACTGAACATTTTGTGGCTTTCAATAAAAATGTAGCTTCACAAACAAATAGAAGGTAGGAAGACTTTGCCTCAGTTCTGATTCCTTGCGTGGACACTGAAAATTCTAGAAGGGAGCAGTATTTCCTCAGCTACTGGGAAAGCTTTTCATGCTGTTGACTTTTCCCATTAATTGAGACCTGTAATTGTGAGTTGCCTTTTAACTTGTTTAGGTTTTCTGTTTTAGCACATTGACTTTGTGCTACTTGGGTAGCTATCTCATTCTTCTACCTAGTCAGCTACTTCAAAAGTGGATCATCGTTGCTGCTTCTGTTTTATGTGTAGCTCAAAGCCAGGTAATGTCGCAAAGGAATAAATAAATTTCAGTATTTAAATTACTTTCAAAAGCCATTGTTATTTAAAAAGTAATTCTGAATGCTTCTCTGCTCTTTATTTTTTAAAAAAGATATATTTTTGCATACAGAACTGGGGTTTAGGCCAGAGGTACAGGGGCGGTGAGAGGCTTCACCAGAGACAGAGTGGGGAGCAGAACAGGCAGATGGACGAAGCACACTGCTGAGGGGAGCAGCGGGTGGGTCAGGAGACGTCTGCCGCACCATGTGGTCACCTCCTTGGCTGGCTGTGGCTAGCTTCGCAGTGCTACACTCTGGCACATTGTACCACCAGAGAGAGTCCTTCTTTGCTCTTTAAACACAAACTACTGGACATACATTAATGAACATAATTCGATTAATTTTTTTATTGACTTAATCATAGTCGAGACTGATAAGGAAACACATAAACAAGGGAAACAAAATACATCTTTGCTGGAAAATGTTCCCGATGTTGCTGGTTTCCTCCTTTTTTGAACTCTTTCTTATAGTGGGAATTAATTGGCTTTTCTGTAAGACAAATCATGGCACAGTTAGCAGCTCTGTGCCCTGCTCATAAAAACTTTATAAAACTACACCCCCATCTCTTTGTCACTTTCAGTTTATTCCTGATGTCTTAATAAAAACTGGCCAGGGGCACTCTGAAAACAGACTACATTTGTGTTTTGCTTGTCACACTCTATAAAAAAGCACAACGCATACTGAACAGTTGTGCATGCTTTTGAATGAAAAAGGCAAGGGTACTATATTTTGTGAGACCTGCCGAGTGAACAAGATTTTTCATGAAATACCTATTAATACCTAAAATTTTGTTAAATAACATGGGGGCCTCATAAGAAATCAGCAAAGGAACACCAAGAGAGCATGTAAGTGTTTACCTAATAGGAAGGAAAGAAGGAAAAAAAAGACAGTTTCCTTGTGTTCACTTGTTAATTGAACAACAGTGAGATGATTTTGTTATTCTTAAACACCTAATGTTGAGAATTTTTTAAAAATTCAAATTATAAAAAGCTTTGTTGAGTTTCCAACCACCCCTCTGCCATGGACGTATTTCCTTCCTTTCTGAGAAGGAAAGGGGTTAATGGGTAAGCATGAGCTAACTCTGAATGCCACAGCAGTGGAGCGTTCTCATTTGCAATCCTTTCTTATAAGTGCACACAGGGCTCACGGACAGGCTTGTGCCAGCAGTGTCTGGTGGTGATTTATCCCTGCTAGGGCCTTCCATATCAGTAAAATATCTGGCAATGCTGTGCTCAGAAATGAAGTCTCTAGAACAGTACTAAACTTTGGCAGTGATATTCCTGAATGTTATACACATTTTAGCTAAACAAGTTAAGTTCTGTTTCTCACCACCTGCATGGTGCTTCCTATTCCATCTCGGGGGTGGGGGGGATGAGAATCACGCTACCCTCTGTCATCCACTGTTTGGGTAGATGACCCTTTGCATGTTGTTTCCGTCAACACGGGCCTCATACCCTACAGAGGGACTCTTCTGGAATGCATTTTGCAGAAGCTCTAGATCAGACTTTTCATTTAGACAAGGAACACCTGTGAGTGGATGTGCACCAGGGCTTCCTGTGCAGCAATCAGTGGGTGCTGTGGATATTCTGTGCTAGGGTGCACACTGCACCTGCTGTAGCAGGTCCCAGAGCCTGCTCCCCTCTCTCTTTCCTCCTTTTCTTGTCTTCTCAGTTTCTGGTCATGTTTCTTTGCTTTGGTTAAAGAGGCGGGCCTTCTCACCGGCTTCCAACCCAACCCAGCACTTTATTTCTTGTGCTTCTGATACTCGAGCACCGTGCGGTTGCTAGTCCTTGGCTTTCGTGAGTGAGGAGCGGTGGTCAGGGCCACGGCGGCCATATGGTGAGGAGCAGAGCCGTGACTCCCAGTCTTGTTGCCAGTTACAGGCTGTGCCACTAAAGAGATGTTTGCCCCTCAGAGCTCCAGTTATTTTGATCATTTATGAAGGAGAATAACAATATTCATTTCATGGGATTTTTGGAAATGCTTAGTCAATTACGTAATTCTTAACTATGTGTCATTTGCAAAGCACTGTCAACTTTTATGCAGTCGGCCTCCCAGCCCTTCACAACACACTTGGTGCTTTATGTGTGTGACTAACCTGTATGCGTGTAGGTTTTGCAATCTTTGATTCTGAAAGGCCAGTTGCTTCCCTTGTTTTTGTTGATCGGAATCTGTAAGAGGCATGCGCTCTCACCTCTGGTGAGTGCTGGCTTAGGTTTTGAAGTTTATATGTATATTTTTCTCCTTTGGCTTGACATAATTGGAAGTAAAAGCTACTGAGGTGGTGAAGTGAAAAGTGACGTTTTCTTTTGGTCTCCTCTCTGGGAAATTTCAAGTGCTACTAAGTGATAATGTGAGGTGTAATCTGATTGGATTTATGCAACACCAGCCACTTAATCAACAGCTCCAGGCACAGATAAAGCATGTTGGTGTAGAATGTGCCATAAAAACTAAAGTTCTTGACATGTGTTGGCGGCAGGATACAAAGACAACACAAAATACAATTATATCCTGGAAAAGATAAGTGTGGGAAGAGGAACTGCCTTATCGTCTAAACAATTGAGAAATGTGTGAGAGTAAGAGCAGGAAACAGTGTTATAATCACAAGGGCTGTTGTGAATAGGCTGGTGGGAAGCTCCAGAAGGAGAACCTAAAAAGGTTCCACTAGCAGAGAGGAGAGGACCCCTGTCCCGTTTTGGGGGGGCTGGGCAGTGAGCCTCAGGGCTCATTCCCTTTGACAAGTGTCAGGATGGGGATATTTTTATACAATTTGCTGTGTTCTTCTTGGTGCTTTAAAAGAACCAGGGCTGCCTTAGCTATGAATGGCCCTCTAGAGGTTTTATCTGAGCTTATTTATTAATGCCTGCTGGTTAGATTCTTGCAGAGCTTAGTTCAGAGGTTCCCCTGGTTTAATCAATATGGGCGTCCTAGAGACAAGGAAAGAGATTTAATTGTCAGTTATACTTAAATTCATGCAAATATTTTCATCCCTTCATTAGTCACACACTCTTGAATGGAAAGTGGCCTATCTGAGGTCCCCAGGTGGAAACCTTTCCTCTGGTCCCCAGGAGCTCCATGAGAACAGGATGTGTATTTCCTCAGAAGCCACCACTGAAAGAATAGATTTGCTTAGAATTGTGACCCTTCCAGTCCCCTGTGTTATATTGTCTGTGTTTGTTTATATCCAAAACAGACAGGTCTGGCTGTGATAAATCAGATCGATAGTTTTTTTTTTTTTTTAAAGATTTTTTATTCATACAGAACTTGAGTACAGGCCAGAGGCACAGGCCAGTGAGAGGATTCACCAGAGACAGAGTGGGGAGCAGAACAGGCAGGTCGATGAAGAAGTACACTGCTGAGGGGAGCAGTGAGTGGGTCAGGAAAGGTCTGCAGAGCCATGTGGATCACCTCCCTGGGGCAGGGATTGAACTCACATTTAAGCAGCTGCAGCTCGCTTGCAGTGCGCTACCAGGGAGGCCAGATCTATAGCTGTCTTATAAGGAACTGACAGTGTTGGGGAGATAAAATAATCTAAATACATGGACTGCAAGGAAAAAATATTAAATGCTGGTGAGAAGTTCAACTAAAATGAGAGTGATAGAAAGGAAAAGGGATTCTAGGAAGACTCCCTGGAGGAGGTCACATAGTATCTGATTCTTAGGTTTTCTGAAGGCACAGAGGTGGGAAGAAGAATATTCTAGACACAGGGTGCTGGGTGATGGTGGTAGTAGAGGCTGCAGGTGAGAGAGAGAATGGATGTAGGGAGCAGTCAGGTGGGTGTTGTAAACCACCAAGGCAGGGGGGCTGGACTGGAAAGAAACTAGGGAGTTGAGGATCTGAGATTGATTAACTGGTTGTGAGAGGCAAGGATGAGATAATTCAAGGGAGCTGCCAGGCTCCCTGGCAAATGGTGTCTTTCATAACAATAATGAAAAAGGAAGAGGAAAGGAAGGAAATGAATTGACTGAAAATTGTAAGCCTATTAAACATGATGTGCCCGTAGAACCTTCAGGAAGATGTATCCAGCAGGTCGTTGGAAGTACAGATCTAAACTCAAATAAGGGCTGGAGGTAGAGGTTTGGAAGTTACTGATGTAGAATTACTGTTTGGAAAAATAATACATGTCCGCAGAGAATGAAGAATGCATCTAAGCTTTCTAGGATAGGCTGCGAGAAGTCAGAAAATATTGTCATCGAAAAAGTGAAGCGAAAAGAGAACAGGAGAGTGTCATATCTTCAAATATAAGGCCAAGAGAATTTTGAGGAAACAGAAAGATGAAGGAACAGTCCAGAAAAGTGAGGACTTAGAAAGAAAAATGGATGTGGCGAGTTAGAGATGACCTGAAAGGTCACAAAAGCCACATAGCAAGAGGTTGAGGAGTAAACGGGTGGTCAAGAAGTAGAGGCTGTGAGCAGAAATCATACTTACAGAAAGTTAGATGGTAAAGGCTTTTTTTTTGCTCCCTTGACTCAGGGCTCTCTGACTGAATCTGTAAAGGTATACAGATTCACGGAAACAGAAAAGAGCAAAGTGACCAAAGCAGAAGATAACCCTTGGAGCAGGCAGGCCCAGGACAGCTCACACTCTCTGAATGGGCTTTGGCTGGGAGGCGGGAAGGAGAAGCTGAAGGGTCTTGGCCGAGCTCCCCTCATGTGAAGTGAGCAGAGGCCTTGATTGAGGAGCGCTGAGCCGGTCTCATCTTCACAGTGATGGTGGAGCGGAAGGAATGCTGGGCTTTTGGCAGGACACACTTGGGCTTTGGGAATGCGATTAGTGGAACTCGTTGCCCCAGTTGTATGACTTTCCTCACGAACTCTTGGCAGCTGAGCAGAAAATGTGAATATTGTGCCCTGCTGCATGGGCAAGTGCACTAAGAAGAGGGTGGGGCAGAGTCGCCCCAACATAGGCACATGGATTAGGGTTGAGAGCACATACGGGGGCCCAGGGATTATACAGTAAGGGAGGCCGGCAAGTCAGCCTGTCCTCCGGAAAGCAACAGGACAGAAAGGCTAGCAGCAGGGACAGGAGACCAGAAAAGAAATGACTCTTCCAAGTAATAAAAATATTTCCTTTTCTCCCTCCAACCATATCTCAAACAGCTAATACAGGCCTATCAAGGGACAGGAGGACTTCTTGAAGTGAGAGGGGAGAAGAGGTGGTGTACCCCATCGTGTCCTAGGGGCAAGGAGAGGGTGGGGGGATGGGTGAGACTGTGGCCAGGGTGCCAAACTGAAGGCCCATGCAGGGCTGCTTGACAAAGATGTTGAGTGTTCACCTCCCCTGTTGGTCTTACCTTCTCTAGGAACTCTTGCAAGCAAAACAGGATCTTCAAGATCTACTCATCGCCAAAGAAGAGCAGGAAGATCTCTTGAGAAAGCGGGAGCGGGAACTGACCGCTCTGAAGGGGGCCCTCAAGGAAGAGGTTTCCAGCCACGACCAGGAGATGGACAAGCTGAAGGAGCAGTATGATGCTGAGCTGCAGGCCCTGAGGGAGAGCGTGGAGGAAGCCACCAAGGTGAGGCATCCCGGCCCAGGGCCAGGCCCAATGTTGAGAGTGCCGGGAAGGGGCAAGAGGAGCTTGCCTGTCTCATACCACTGCCCACTCTATTCCTTCCTTTTCATGTCTGTGAAATTCATTTCATCAGGTCAAGGAAATAGAGCTTGTTTTTGAAGAAGCAGCACAAGCATTTTGCAATTGACCTTTTAGAATCTATAAACTTAAAAATGTCAAGGACACTCAGTGCATGAGGTGAGATTGTAGAGGCCACAAGTGGCTCTCCCAGTTTGGTAGCTTCCTGAAGCCAGAGCCTAGAGTGTTTGCGGCTTTGCCAGTGGGGCAAGATGGCAGGGGACCCAGAGGCCCCTGCCCTAGGCTGTCCTTGTCTTGTGGACCCTTTTGTTAAGCAGTTCACATTCCTTTTCTCAGCACTGTCACAAGGGGGTTAATTGACTGAACTGCCGAAACCCTCACAGGATAATTTTTCTCTTAATTGAATTCTTGGCTTCTACAAATAGATCTAAATTATGTTGAGGTCTTTTGGTGCTGGCCTCATGTTGGCTGTTGAAGAGAAAAGCAGTGTTTTGAAGGGGACAATGCTTTGAAATACGCCATCGTTCGGGAAAGAGGAGCGTTAACAGAGTATACCTTTTTAGACTTCCTGCAAAAATTGGTGAGAGAGGATGAAGAAAGAACTCTTGAGATTGTTTGTGGATTTGCGATGATTGCAATGACAGCTCACAACTCTCAGTCACTCTCTCCCCAAGCTCCATAGAGATTCACTGGTTTTCAATAATGGCATGGTAATTGCAAATGACAAGAAGTGAAAGATGGGTTTGTTTGCCATAACAATAAAAGGTCTGGGAAATGCTGTGTTTGGGTTTATTATCACTGAGATGGTTTTTAAAAACAGCTTGTTGATTTGCCTCTCAGGTTTTTTGTTGTTGTTGATTCGGTTTAGTTGGAGGAAGAAAAGCAAACCTGATTTATTTGCATTGTTTTGAGGGGACGTGCCTGTTGTTTCCATCTCATTTTCTTGTGTACAGCAGCCTGGTGTCCTTGCTAATGGCCTTTCTGGGCTGTTGCTTCAAGGGGTACAAATATGCCAATGGACCCATCATGTCTTTACCACCTCAAACGTGCATCAAATCTTGAGTTAACACAGTATGTGCACTAAAGGGGAATTGAGGATGGTGTTGAGATCTGTTCATGGTGATTTGACTATAAAGTAGATTAAGTTTGTGCCACACGTAAGTTGCAAGATAACATTTTTCCCCCCAAACTTTTATTTCAGTAACACTGTTGATCTAACAATACCGTGTATGATTCAGAGGTAGAGGATCACGGCCTTTGGGTGTATGTTCTCACCCCGTGCCTACCACCAAGGCCCCCATAGCCTCCCACCTCAGTCCCTGGTGATGCTCCCTGCTTTGTTCGCCTCTTCCCACTCCCACACTGGTAACCTCAGTTCTACGGTCAGTTTTTTGGGGCTTATTATTGATTTGCTGTTATCTGATCTTGTTGTGTTTCTTTATGTTTCACATATAAGTGAAATCACCTGGTATTTGTCTTTCTCCTTATTTTATTTCCATGTTGTTGCAAATGACAGGGTTTTTTTCTTTTAATGACTGCATAGTATACCATGGTGTGTGCATTGACCACATCTTCCTAGTCCCCTCCTCTGTCTTTGGCATGTAGGTTATTTCCAGAACGTGGCTGTTTATAAATACTGCTGCACTAAACATGGAAGTTTAATAACTCTGCTTTAATAACTTGCTAGGCTACTGTTATCTCAAATTGACGTTCAAAATTGTTAGTGTGTTAGCCAATAGCCATTCCTTCTCTCTCCGTAGCCCATCTCCAGAAAACTCCATATTCTTTTAGTGCTCTCCCCTCTTTGTGCATACAGAATGACCTCCTTCCACTTCTCTGCTTCAACTTCTCATCCTTTGTGACTGTCCCAAAATTTTTTCTACCCTGTGAGGTGACTAAGTACCTCCACTCAGGGTTTTTTCTCTTTTGTAGTTTGTAACAAACTATGTTGTAATTTAGCAACATGCTCTGAACTTCAGAAGCAGAGGGGCTGTTGACACCATGTAAAAAAAATATTTATGCATACAGAACTGAGGTACAGGCCAGAGGTGCAGGGGCAGTGAGAAGATTCACCAGAGACAAAGTGGGGAGCAGAACAGGCCGACTAACAAAGTACACTGCAGAGGGGAGCAGTGGGCGGGTCCAGAGAGGTCTGCTGGCTAAGTGGATCATCTCTCGGACGGGGATTGAACTCATGCTGAAGTGGTTTTAGCTTCTTAGTGCTGTGCTTTAACCTGCTGCGCCACTAGAGAGGGCCTATTGATACCATTTTTTCTCCCCTAAAGTTGAAGTGACAAACTGAGGGGCCAGACAAGGACATAAACGAAAGAAGCTCTGTAAGTATTTTTGGGGTGCAGTAAGGCATAGGGGGACCGGTGGCAAGCTGTAAAGTGTGTACTTTGCTGTAGGGTCAGTTGTTTCTTTGCTGCATCTGAAGGTTCCAGCTAGCTCTTTTCATTTTCTAAGAGAAGCCTTACATCTGGATGTTATGAGATTGCTTCATATTTAAACATTGCTTCAAATTAAGGGACAAAAAGAAGCACATAACCAAACACGACACATTTGTAAGCCAACCCTTGTTATCAAAGGATAACATCCTTATCCCTTGAACCCTGCACAGTGCCTGGTACACAGTCACAGCTGCGCAGTGTCTGAGGAATGAAGTAAAAGGAGGACAAATAACCCTAACTGGCTTTTCGGTATCTGTCATGCGTCGTTTCTTATTGGATTTTCATTGATGATGGTGTGGGAGGTCTTTAAGGAAACTATTGCTACCCTGTGAATTGAATAATATGTGCCTTTGTTTCCCTGCATTTTCTTAAAAAGAATAGTGATTGTGTTTTTACACAGTTAACGTTTGTTTCTGAAGGTGTTTGCTGAACAAATATAATGGAACCATACTTAATGGAAAAAATATGTCAGCTTGTGGCCAGATGCTATCTTTTTAAAAATGAGTTTTTATGTGTTGGAATTGTATAAAGATTTAACTGTTATTCTTTCTTGGAGGAATGAGTTAGATAAACTTTTTTTTAATTTGGTAAAGAGTGGTTTAAATTTGTATATGAGTTTTTAGCTGTTTCCTGCGTCAGGGGAAGGAAGGACCCACCTGACACTGAGACTAAAAGTTGACATTTAAGGGATTGCATTAAGAAGTTTCTTTTCCTGGTAAGCTTTAGGAAGCAACCCAGCCTTCTGTCATCAGTTTTCCCAACTTGTGCCACTGTCCCATGACTCAAAACCCCTAAAGTGCACTTTTATCATTGTCAGATTACAAATGTTTCATCCTGGCCTGAGCTCAATCACTCAAAGTTTTAAATTACTAGAACACTTGGTGAAAACTGTCAAATTATATTAAGAATTTTACAGATACGCCAAACAGAGACTATATAAAAGTAGTTTTTGTAGACTCAGACAGCCACGACTTTTAAAGAACAGATTGATTACTCAACAGCTGAGCTTTCACGAATACCTATGTTAGGTGGGGTTTCCTCCTGCAGAGGAATGGGGGTGCGTGAGAGAGTGAGCTACTTCATTCGGTTTCCTTCTTGCAGAGGACTGGATCTTGCTGTCTGTTAGAAAAGGGAGCCTGTCAATCAAGTATTCTTTGAAAGTACTTAAATACTTTTACACCTCATTCTATAATGGGCTTTTTTGTGGTTTTGTTTTTTTTTTTAAGGTTTATTTATTTATGCATACAGAACTGGGCACAAGCCAGAGGTGCAGGGGCGGTGAGAGGCTTCACCAGAGACAGAGTGGGGAGCAGAACAGGCAGATCGATGAAGTACACTGCTGAGGGGAGCAGCGGGCGGGTCAGGAGAGGTCTGCTGCGCCATGTGGGTCATCCCCGGGGCTGTGGATCAAACTCACACTGAAGTGGCTGTGGCCAGCTTTCAGTGCTTCGTCCCTACCCGTTCCGCCACCAGGGAGGGCCCTTTTTGTGGGTTTTATCTTTTTATACACTTTCCATTTTGAGAAGTGTCTGTCCTTTCCTCCTTGATTTGTGGCAGTGACTGGAATTGTTTGAGGAAATGGTCACTTGGGATTGAATGTCCACAGCTGGAGATGGTCCACAATTGTTAGTTCTCTTTTTCTACCCCTTATCCTTCCTAGTCCCATTTCTCATGCAAAAGACAATATAGTTTTCTCAGTGAGTAGACTCGCCTCAAATTCTACCTCCTCTGAACTTGCTGGGTCTTACCAGCATTCAAGGACCTGCTATTGTGGGAAATAATGCTCTAGTTTTGTTTTTCTTCCCTGACATATTAAAGACTGTCCTCCTTCTCCACTTGCCAAATTCTATATGTTGGCACATAGTAGGCGCTTTAATAAACATTGTGGATTCAGGAATAAACAGTCCAAAAGGAAAATGCCAAGGGTCATGGCCATCCAGTGACTAGCCAGTGGATCTAGGGGGCAGGGGGAATCTCATTTAATTGTTTTTCAGAAAAATGAACAAATCTTGTCTGTTGAAGCAGTATCCTAAGGTAAACATGAACCTTGATGCACAAAGATTTTGCATCTAAAAGTTGCAGGTCTTGAGGATGGGAAAGGAAACACTTGTCTTTATGTTGGGTGATACGACTTCTGGCACCCAGCCTCTGGCAGTTATGCACAGGCATTTCTTAAATGAGCAGTGAGAGACTCTCGCCAGCCTTCACATCCCTTTTATGTTAATTTTAAATATATCATTTATAAATGTCCTTACCACCCACTTGCCATGTGTAAGACTGTGCTAAGTTCTATGAAGGATAATGAAGATAAATTGGACAGAATCTAGCCTCTAGGAGATTGAAGGTAACAGATAGGTAACACTCAAGCTAATTACAGAAAGCAAAGAGCACGTCACAAGGGCAATAGTATTGGACAACTTGCTGCAGTTGCTGGTTCGTGCCTACAGGGCTGGTAGCCACCCTTTCTTGGAGGAA